ATATTGTATTTAACTTGTAGAAAGTCAACCACAACTTATCTATCCGAAATTACCACGGTAGTTAACTCTGAACTGTCCTGAGTTAAATATCTTGGTTTGCTTGTGAATAACATGTTATCAATTGTTGTCTTATTGAATATAGTAAATCCATTCTCCAAAATCAATCTATCTTTCCGAAAAAGTCCAGCTGAAATTATTTTCCAGTTGAATATAGTATGCCCATTTCCCAATCTCTATCAATCTTCTTTTAAAAGCTAATTTATCACTCATCAATTCTGTTGAAGTTCCCACAATTTCTTTACGGAGAAAGCAAAAGTTATTCAGAGCAGCAGAGTAGAACAAAGGAAAGATACAAAAACAATCATATAAAATCCAGCAAGCAGTTAGACTAAATCAATATTCGACCGTTCAGTTAACTTTTTAAAGTAAAAAAACAAAGTAAAATAGAAACTTCAAAGAGTGCAGTTAAAATCCAGACGTGCTTAAAAAAATCAATCAGCTGAGAGGAAGAGCTAGAGGCTTGATTTTCTGGCTGCTCCTACAGGAACTTTAGTCTTTAAGTCTTCACAGATGGGTCCACGATCATCCAAAATTCTTCTTGGGTCATTCCTAGGTACACCTATTCAAATCCAGGGAGCAGCCCCACCAAAGAAGCAGCTTTGACAGAAAAATCAGCTGATCGTGGGCAGAGAAAAAGATTGCCCTACCACAGGGCCATCTTAACAGCATTATGGGACCTGGGCAAAGCAGTGTACTGGATCCCCAACAACAACTATTCACAGGAATAAAAATGTAAATGGTCGATAAAATTAAACATATATTTATTTTATTGGCATATTCCAACAAAATTGGTGTTGGTATGGGACCCCTATGCCTGTGAGGCCCATCAGGTCCATGCATTAAGACAGCCCTTCCCCCTACCATCTTAGGGGAAGTTCCCGAACATAAGTTTTCTCTTGACCTTTTGCTAAGGAAAACTTTTGGGTATCTGTAGCTTAGTTTTCATCTCCATATTTTATATCTGGCAGTTCTGGAATAAGGAGTAATTTACAGATTGACTAAAAGTATAAAAATAATACTAAGTTTTTAATATGAGTGGGTCAAATTTAGCTTTTTCAAGCCTAGAAAAATGTAACTTTTTTCCTCCATGGTTTCTTTTTAATAGAAAGAAGGATTATAAATGTTTGTAATATTTTCATTTCAAATAACATAAAATGATTTAAGATGTGGAAAAAAAATCTGTTTGGAAATACATTAAAGAAATAAAGTAAACTAGTGCCTTGTTTCCCCCAAAATATGACCTACCCCGAAAACAAGCCCTAGCCTGATTTTCACACCTGCACCTAAAATAAGTCCTCCCCCAAAAGTAAGCCCTAGCTAAGCCCTGCCTATCGTCTGGTTGTATGGGATGGGGTGAGGCGCAGGCTTAAAAATCAAGCTGGGGGAGTGGGGAGGGGCTGCCCAAAGTGCCCCACACCCACTTACCTTAGGAATGCCACAGCCAGGCCTTCCACACCCCAACACCTGTCACGCCGCTGCCCAACATCTTCTGCAGCTGCTCACAGCCACTCACACCAGGACGTGAGTGTCCACTTCTATCTGCTTTAGCTTTGGCTTCAGTCAGGAGCGGGTGCTGGCGTGAGGCTCTTCGCGCTGGCAAAGCCCCTTGCAGCAGGATGATGCAAGGCTCATGGCATTGCATATGCAAACAGCACCACCACTGTCAGGTTCATCACACTGGTGCAGCTGCTTGCAGCAGGATGCCACAAGGCTCATTCCAATGGTGCCGCCGCATGCATGCAACAATACAAGCCTTGTAGCATCCTGCCACGAGAGGCTTCCCCGGCACAACAAGCCTCGCAAAGACCCATTTCTGGCAGCGTTTGGGGAAGAGAAACAAGCCAGTGTCTCTGCTTTCCTTGCATGCAGCCAAAAGTTCACAAAAGGCAGGTAGGTGAAATGCCAAGCTCAACCCATACCAACACCTCGCATATTAACCCCACTTTCTCAGCCTACTATCCAAGTAAAGAGCCGAGGTGGCGCAGTGGTTAGGGTGCAGTACTGCAGCTACTTCAGCTGACTGCTAGTTCAGCAGATCAGCAGATCAAATCTCACCGGCTCAAGGTTGACTCAGCCTTCCATCCTTCCGAGGTGGGTAAAATGAGGACCCAGATTGTTGGGGACAATATGCTATTTAGTATACTGTCTTTGGTGTAAGCCGCCCAGAGTCCTCGGAGAGTGGGCGGCATAAAAATATGAATAATAAAAAATAATAAGTGACCATCCCCTCTTACTGAGGCTTTAGGAATACTTCACAAGTGAATTCAGTCACCATTTTGCCATGAACCACCCCACTCATGACTGAGGGCAAAGCTAAAGCAGGAAGAAGCTGCAGCTGTGGCTCCAACCACGCCTGCTCGCTGGCCTCAAGCATGCTCAGAGAACGCCAGCAATGCCTTTTGTGGCAGGAGAGGCCGGAGCCAAAGCGCTATTTTTGGCTTCTCTAGGACACTTAGCTGCCCTGAAGGGTAGGGCAAAAAAAATTAAGAGAGCCCCGAAAATAAGCCCCAGTGCTTATTTCGAAGGTCAAAAGAAAATAAGACCGGGTCTTATTTTCGGGGAAACACGATATGTAAAATGGTAGAGATGTTTGCCTCAGTATAGATAAATTTTAAGATTCAAAATGATCATAAATAAAGAACTGGAAATTGCTGTTAGTGATAGTGATTCAGATTTGGAAAATGAGAATGATTATCAGTTTCCTGTAGCCAAACCTGTATCCTGAGCCTTGACTCTTTTTTCTTTTCCTCCCTTTTCCCCCATGAAAATTAGGGTGTTCTCACTCTCTGATCTAACAGAACATTTGATTTGCTTAATTACAGTATTGACAGTCTGCTATTATTTTCAACATTAAATTTATGCTAAACAGATGAATATGAAGAGGTGAAAAATGGAGAATTGTTGGTTATTGGAAATTTAGTTAATCAGACAAAAGGCTAACTGCCTCTTCAGTAAGGGAGACCTGGCAAATCGGACCACTGGCTGGCCCTGCTCCTGCCCATTTTTCAGGCTGTTTTCTGCTGTTTTTGGGCCATTTTCAGGCCATTTTTTGGGCCAAAATTGCCTGATAAAACAGCCTGAAAATGGCCCAGAAAGGCCTGAAAATGGCCTGAAAAAGCTGGCTGCGAGCGGAAGAGAAGCCGGGTGAGCTGGACCCAGATGTGTCCTAGGTCACCTCATCCCAGAAGCAGCAACCTAACACTCTTTCCCTCTCTGCTAGCTCCCTTCTTCGCACGGGATCGCCCACCAACAGAAATGGAGAGGGAGAAGGGAGTGGTGTTTCTGTGCTCCCATTTCTGTGTGGCACTTTCCCTTCAATACTAGCAGCCAGCGCTGCCCGCTTCTCCCTCTCTGCTGCTGGGCGATCCTGTGTGAAGAAGGGGGCTAGGAGAGAGGGGAAAGTGTGACATTGCTGCTTCTGGGATGAGGGGATCCAGGAAACATCTGGGTCCAGTTTACCTATCTTCTCTTCCTCTCGCAGCCAGCTTTCCCAGTCTAGCTTGACGCAGTCTCTCTCTCTTTCACACACACACACACACACACATACACACACAAACAGGTTGGATCTTTCTTTCCTCCCCCCCCCCCCGAGACCCCCCCCCCCCCCGTCCTATACCGGTACCACCCACCCAAGTAACGTAGAGTTGGTCACACCCACTCAGTCACATGGAAACCCCCCCCAGCCACGCCCTCCCCAGCTTGTCATTAGGGCAGAGAACCGGTTGTTAAAAAATTTGGAGCCCACCACTGCCTAGAAGTAATGGACTTAATCTTTTTCTGTAGAACTTTTTCAAGGGCTAGAAATTACTATAAAGTAAATACAAGTACTATTCATTATATTTCAGCAACTCCTTATAGCAAAATTTAAAAACACTTAATTCAATACAACAAATATTGTCTGCATAAATCATACTTTTTAGTTTAGTTTGTTGTACAAGCAAACCAAGTTATAAAATAACACAGTGGTTTTGTATCTGTAAGTTTTAAAAATTAAACACTGCACATATTTTTGCAATGTTGGGAGTGGTGCAATGGCCTAGAAGTGAAGCTCTTGCCTCACTATCAGGAGGCTGTGAGTTTGATCCTAGGTAGAGGAAGGCATTTCTCTCTCTGGGCACAATGAGAACAAAACTCCACATTGGCGACAGGAAGGGCCATTAAACACTCTGCTAGCTTCATTCAGTTGCTCAGACTCAGCCCACAAGGGATTATGGGGACGTTAAAAGATGATGATGATATATTTTTGCAGTTTTTAAAAATTAAACACTGCACATATTTTTGTTGTTCTACAAATGTTTTCTTTTTGAGCAAACCCTAAAGAGAAAAAAACTGTCTTTTAAATTAACTCAAAATTTGTGAAAATATTCCATCTTGAATTAATTTGTTATCAATCCAGGAACAGGATCAGAAACATAGTATTTGCTTGCTGCTTTGCTTGCCAATTAATTGATTATAAGCTTTTAGAAGATCACAAGAAATTGCTGGATGGTATTGGTCTCAAAGCCACTAGCTACCCGAAATAGCAAATTAATGTGAAGTGGATGCATCTTCATTGGCTAGAATGTATATTCAATTTTAAAGCAGCCTTTTTCTTATTGTAGTGTAGTTTTAGTTTTATTGTAGCATGATGAAAAGCTAATTTCTTTTGTGATTTTGCAACCAGTAACTTTTCATCCTTTCCACATCCATTAATTTACAGCAATTCCCTTCTGTTATACTTGCAAGATTGTGCTATAATATAGCATAGAACTAGGTGACTGTCTAAGCTATCTTGTTCTTTTCTTGGTGGAGGAATCTTAATTGCAATTAACTTCAACATTTCCTTTTTTCTCTCCTCTTTTGCTTTGTATCTCTTTGCCTTGTTTATTTTTTGCTTTGCTTTGCTTCTCTTGTTCATTCTTTTATGGATGCTTTCTCTGTCTTGTTTGGGATTCCAAAAGGCGAAGATCTGGAAAGGAACGATGGAACTCCTGAGCGGCCTTATTACATGTCCTCTGCCTTGAGTGAAATCCTCCTGAAGGGAAGCCTAAAATCTTCCAAAAGTGCTGAGAGTCAAGAATAGGGACAATGCACCAAATGTGAAAGATGTATGCAGGTGTCCCACTGCAAGCCTTCTGTGTGCAGATGCTCTACCTTCATGGGCAAATTTTCTGAGATATTTCTCAGATATTCTGAGAAATGATGGGTACTCTTGACTTTCATCAAACAAGTCACTATTGATGGTATATACTGTAATCTGTTTCTGTCCAGGAGATTTTCCAATACCAAAAAGGACTTGAAATTGGAGGGTGAATGTGTTTAAAGTTGAAAAAAATGCCTCAGTATGATTATGCTGTTGTGTATGGTTGCTTTTGGCACAGATATCCTATCAAGTGCACAAAGAATAACACCAGAACAATTTAATATGAAGTAAAATTAATATCAATAGCAGTATATTAACAATTTCCATTACAATAAAAATGTGTTCAAATATTGGACCTTTCCAAATATCCAAATACAGGGGTATTCCCTGTGCAACTATCCATATGAAAAATAGTCCAGAATAGCAATATTTTGAGGCTTAAGAAAGCAGCTGCTTGGAAATAAATGAAAATGCTTTGACAAAGGTTTGCTTACTTGTATATCTTCTATTGGTTGAACAGATTTTGAATTAGTATATAACTGCAATTGTAGGTGTATACAAACAGAAGTAAATAGTGGGATGAAGATAACCAGGATGAGCACTATTTCAGATTAGTTTCAGCTCTTTAGAAATCTCTTGCTTCAGTACAAGTGCTTTGTTGCTGCCTAAAACTCTAGTAGCAAACCTCTCCAGGTAGGAAGTTCTTTGAGAGGCTTTTTCTGTCGTTTCCGTGCATTATATAGGGATGCAATCAACAAAAGGCATAAAAGATGAACACAATTGTTCTAAAGGCTGTTTTAGAAAAACTGCTCTAAATAATGAAAGATAAAAAAGCCAGATTCTTACCTGCTATTTGCATATTTCACCTGTAACACTTGGTGTTTTCCTACTTATGAGTAGGAAATTTTTATTTAGGGAAGTTTAATTTCAGAAAAGAATAATAATTTTCAAATGTGAATAGTGAATAGGAAAATAACTCCACTTTTGCTTTGCTAATAACAGTTTCTATTATCCAATTTCTTTGTATCCCATGGGAGAAAAAAAGATGACAAATTTCATGTATGTGCCTGGAATCTTTGAGAATGGCAAGATTTATCCCCTTACTTTAAGACAAGGTTTTAAAAAATCCCTAAGCAGATCTTTTTGGGTGGAAAACTCTAACATCCTTTTTGTTGAATACCAGAAGAGGAAAATTCTCAAATCAGAATCATTTTCAGTCTAATTATGAATATCTGTCATATGTACTTATCTGCTCATGGTGAGATCTAATCTCGACTGGTCAGGTTTCCCTTAGTTTCCATAAACCAGGATTACTCCTATGTAGTACTAGTCCCTTGTGCTAGTCCCGAAAAGATGTTTTCACATTCCTTTGCTTGGGGGGGGATTTGTGTTTCTTTGCAGTGGAAGACCTGGAGCGTAATGATGGCTCTACTGAGAAGCCTTACTTCATGTCATCTAACCTGAGAAAACTCCTGAAGAAGACTAATAAAGAGACAGACACATGATTTGGCAAGCCTGGTCTTTCCATGAGGCAGAATAAAAATGTACCAACTTGACTTTTGTCAAGATAGAGCAGCTTCTGTGAGATTACAATATCTGCTACCCCTAGCTGTGCCATATAACTAGAACTTGGCAAAATTAGAAACTTCTCTTCTTGTATCTTTTGGTTTTTGAGTGTAGAGGTTTTGTTTCTTTTGCCTTTTAAAGTGATAAATTAGCCACAGGTAGCCACATAGCTGTAGTTTAGGAATACACCATAATAAATCAGACTGAGATCTGTTAAGATTGAGACCAGTTAAGAAAACCATCCACCCTATTGGACCTGGACTGTTTAAACATTGGGTCAGCAATTCTTGCTTGCTAATACAGGTAGAGTAAATTGTACAGACAGTGCTAGGTATAAGTGATCCAATGAAGCTGCATTTGATCCAGTTTAGTTATTAAAGTTTTTTTTCTTGTAATGGCATTTATTTCATGTAATCAATAATTGATCACTTAAAAAGGTCACTTTAAAGATCTCAATGATCCCAGGATATTATATATTAATGTTTATGGGAAAATCTATTTTCTAAAATTTATTTCACTGCCACTGCACATCCCCAAGACAATTTAATAATGACACCAAGCACAATTAATAAATAGTAAATCCAGGCAAGAAAAGTATATCCTAGGAAAAGATTGTTAAAACTGGGAAGGAAAGTTTGACAATAGCTTTATATTTTTAATGAAAATGGTCAGAATCATGTAAAACAATAACATGAAATATGAAATAAATTAATACATGACAAGAAGGAAGCCATAATAATAGAAAAGATTCAAAATTATGTACTATATACTCAGCAATTTACTTTGAAATTTCTTCTAAAAAGCCATATTTTTTTGAGTTGCCCAAGTAAATTTAGCTTAATTTTTGCTTTTTTATATTTTATTTCCTTTATTGCTGTACTCTTCACAGAAAATATGAAATATTAAACATTTTGTTTTGTAAATTTGTTTAGCATCCTTTTTTAATTACACACAGTACTATAATGAATATAGATTCCTGCAAATTGCCATTAAAAAGTTTATCTCTTCTTTCTGTCCCTAAATCTAGTCTTCTAACTTTAAGATTGTGGAAGATGTAAAGATTGTCTTTCAAAATTATTTCTTTCTTTTAACTGAAACCTATTATGTATTTCTTGCAAAATTGGCAAGGTGTATCAGATAAGTGGCATAATTGTCACTTCAGGAACTCAAACATACAATAATCTTTGGGTAAAATAAACACATTAGCAAACTTCATAAAAACTCCCACAAAACTCTCCTTATTGTTAGCCAGTTGTGATATGAGATCTAGGTGCCATTAGTACACCAAGGAACTAGCTTTCTTTTAAAGAACTGTTAGGGAATATTGTATACCATTGTTGGATTTATTAAAGCTATTTATTAAAGCTAAACATCTCTGCACAGAGATGTTCAAGAACTAAGTGATTTTCTTGTGATACCATTCTTCTGACTGTATTCTCTGTGACTCCTATACAAGGAGTAGGGCGGTATACAAATCAAATAAATTAACAAGCATTTCATAATATAATAGAGGATGAGATTGGCACAGACTAGTTTTTGGATGAAATACCTGGTAGGTCTAATCAAATCCCAATAATGGAAATCATATTAAAGCCCATTAATGCACATAAACACAGACAGCAGATGGTGATACTGTATATTTGGAGTTAAGTACTGTGCAGAATATGTGCTAATGTGATGCTCATAAAGTCTGGGCATCTATCCAGTTTTATTTCTCCTGCTCTCCTCTGAGAAGACAGTGTACATATCAATGAAGCAGCATCGAGATCATGATTGTCCTAATATTTGGCTTGCCTGGCTACATTTAGTGAAGAGGAATTGTTTCGGGCAGCATATAAAATATATAATATAGTCAATAATAAATAAATAACGAACTTGCTTTTTTATATTTTTTATTATCTTATAGGGCCACACTACTAGCTGTCCAAGGCCACATGCAGCCTCTGGACCTCAGATTGAACCCACCTGCTCTAGATAATACCTGAATTCATTTCTTGACTGTAACATAGCAATCTGGATTTATGCAGCCTATTCGCAGCCACTGCATGAACCTGGAGTTCAAGAATGATTTAGTATGAGAAACGTTACTAATTATTTTGACCTGTTAACTAGTCAGCTTATTGATGTTAACAAAAAGTGTTTATCTTTTGGGTATCATCTAATGCCATGATGGCAAACCTATGGCACATGTGCAGGAAGTGGCACGCAGAGCCATTTGTCTGGGCATGCGGACCTGTCGCCCGTTGCTCTTCCGGGTTCCGGTGTGCCGGCCAGCTGGGTTTCATGTGCACCAGCAGGCCAGAAACTGGAAGAGCAGCCACCCATTGCACATGCATGCTCCAGGAAGATGATCTTCCTTTTTCCAGAGTGCGCATGAGCACCAGCCAGCTGGTCTGGTTTCTGGCGCGCATGCAAAAACCAGCAACAGATGCACGTGCCAAAAGACGTGGAGAGGGGATCCTGGTGGTCGCTCCTAAGGGAGCAGAGCACAGTAAGCCGGGGCTTCCCTGCCTGCCTGCCTGTGTGGGCTTCTTGCACGGCCCCAGGCGGTCTGGACCAGCAGCCAGTGAGGGCAGGGTGGTGGTGCTGGGCTGCCTGCACAGATGACCCCATGGCCTGGTCTCCTCACTGGGAGCCACCGTTCCCTGGCTGATGGCTGTACTCTTGGCCCCACTGGGGGAAGTTCCGAATGCATGGTTTGCCTGGGCTCCTTCCCACTGGGAGCCGCCATTCCCTGGCTGATGCTGCGTGCTCGGCCCTGCTGGGAAAGGTCTGAACGCACGTCTTGCCTGGGCTCCTTCCTGCTGGAAGGCACCGTTCCCTGGCTGATGGCCATGCTCTCGGCCCGCCAGGGAAGCTCTGAACACACAGCTTGCCTGGGCTCCTTCCCAGGCCGAAAGCCCAAAATGGGGCATCCCGGACACACATACTCCCCCCCTGCTCTTGCTCTTCCCCTGCAGCTGCCAAAGCCCGCTCCCAGCAGGGAGGAGCCCAAGCGAGCTGTGCATTCGGAGCTTCCCCCGTTGGGGCCGAGAGCACTTCTGCAAGCCAGGGAAGGTGGCTCCCAGTGGGGAGGAGCCCAGGCAAAAGTACCTTGAGTGGTATGTTTCATGAAAAGGTGAGATTCAGACAGCACGACACAGTCATCCTACCACTTCCACGCTCTTGTCCTGCCCTCTGGTGCTTTGAAGGATCATCCCCTCCTCTCTGTGGCAGCCACTCAAGTACTGGAAGACAGCTATCATGTCACCCTTAACCCTTGATTGTCTACTTTGATAAAGAAGACCACAACCTACTTCTTGGTATGTTAGAAAAATGTGGGATAGCTAGCATCACCAGCAGATGGATTTATAACTGGCTGCCTGTATTCCTCAATGGAACTACATCTACATGGAAGGAAGGAAACAGTGAGGTACCTCAAGGTTCCATTTTAGGCCCAGTACTCTTCGATACATTCATAAAAAATTTAGATGAGGGAATAGAAGAAGGAACTCATCAAATTTGCAGATGACATTTAAACTGGCTGCAATACCCAACACCCCAGACAATGCACCCAAGATCCAGATGGATCCCGATAGACTTGAACACTCGGGCCAATCCAACAAAATGATTTTCAATGTGCAGAAAATGTCTTACACTTAGGCAAGAAAAACCAAATGTATAGATACAGATTAGGTGAAACCTGGCTCATTAGCTGTAACTGTGAGAGGGATCTTGGAGTCCTCATGGACAAACACTTAAATATGAGTCAGCAGTGTGTGGCAGCAAGCCAAATAAAACAATCCTAGATTGCAATAAGAGGGATAAAATCAAGATCACATCAAGTACTAGTACTGTTTTACTAGTAAGAGCACACATGGAATACTGTTACATATTTTATGTTATATGTTATGAATATATCACAAATATAAGTTATGAATATAGAGGGCCTGTAATACAATCATAGCTAGCCTTTTCATGAACTCACTGGGAAACTCACATTGCTGGAATGTGTGTACTACCGATAAGGAAAGATTCTGATGCATGTATGAATGATTTATTGTTGGTGATACCAGGTAGAACATTAGTGGCGTAAGGAATGTACTGGAGTCTTTGAACAAATAATGAGGATATAAAGTTCCTGATGTAGATGGGGCAAGTTGTACCATACACATGGATTCTGAATAAACACATTGGGTATAAAGAGAAGACTGGAATGAACCCAGACCCTGAAGTTCGGAACGACTCTTCTTGGAGCAAGGGATGTTCCAACCCACTCAAAGCAGCCTGATCACCTGTGTTAGAGTGTGAGTATTGTGTGAATGAGTAGCCTAGTTTGAATAGGCTTGTTGGGCACAGTAACCTGAAAAGCCTTGTGGCATAATTTATTGTAGTGAGATAACTTTGAAATTAGACAAGTATATGTACAAATATAAAAACTAATCAAGCTTAATTGCACACTTGCCTTGCTTTTTGTCCAAATAACACAAAAATAAAAGAACTATCGAAAAACTACACTTTGAGTTACTTGAACTCAATTTTATAACAATACTGCATCCAGTTTTGGTCACCACATAAAAAAGAGATGTTGAGACTGGAAAAAGTACAGAGGGGTACAAAAGTACAAAAACGATTAAGAGTCTGGAGGCTAAAACATGAAGAACAGTTGCAGGAATTGGGTATGGCTAGTCAAGTGAAAAGAACTATGGGTGACATGATATAACATTCCAATATTTGAGGAGCTGCCACAAAGAAGAGGGGGTCAACCTATTTTTCAAAGCACCTGAAGGCAAGACAAACGATGAAAATTAATCAAGGAGAGAAATAACCTAAAACTAAGAAGAAATTTCCTACAGAACAATTAATCAGTGGAACAGCTAGCCTTCAGAGGTTGTGGGTGCTATATATATATAACCGTGAAAATAGATGATTATAGACATTAATATAAATACAAAAATGGAAAATACTCCACCGTTATAGTAACTTCTAAGAGTCAGTCATTGGACTGAATCGATGTTTGTTAGTTTTGTATGTTATTTTATGTATTTATGTTGGTTTTGTTTTTTCTTTTTATTATTAATAAAAATTAAAAAAAAAAAAGAATATCAAACTCCCAACAATCACACACGCCAGGACAAGAGCAGCCACAACGCAGCTGATGATGAGGCCCTGGTTGGATTCTGGAACTGAATTGGGAGAAAGAGCAGATAATCGAAGGAGAACCCCAAACAATCATCCCAGTTAAAGGAGAAACTTAATTCAGCCAAAGGGATGGAAATTCCTCGAATTAAAAAGTCTTAAGGGGCTCCTCTTCATGTCCCTCTAACTGTAGCATGAAGACATCCTGCTGACCATTTTTTCAATAAATCCCTGATCATCAAAAAAAAAAAAAAAAATTAATCAAGGAGAGAAATAACCTAGAACTAAGAAGAAATTTCCTACAGAACAATTAATCAGTGGAACAGCTAGCCTTCAGAGGTTGTGGGTGCTCCATCACTGGAGGCTTTTAAAAAGAGACTGGACAGCCACTTCTCTGAAATGGTACAAGGTCTCCTGCTTGAGCAGGTAGTTGGACTAAAACAGGGGTCCTCAAACTATGGTCCATGGGCCGCATACAGCCCGCCCAAGCCATTAATCCGGCCCATGGGGGACCCAGAGGCTGTCCCGCCCACCCCCCTGCCAGCCCCCACCCTTCGGCCGAGCGCAGGACTTAATTTAGCAAGCCCTGTGGACTTGAACTGGAAGATAAGGCCAACAGAGTGCTTCTGGGGATGGGGGAGGGAAAAACAGGCCACGCGGAGATCCTGGGAGGCCTTCACGCACCTCATTTTTGGCCGGCACAGTGCTTCTGGGGATGGGGGAGGGAAAAACGGACCGTGTGGAGGTCCCAGGAGGCCTTTGCATACCTTGTTTTTGGCCAACACCGTGCTTATGGGGACGGGGG